TGTCACTGTCATGTCTTTCTTGTCCTTTCAGCTATCATTGCTGGACTTCTATCAGCCCTTATGCATTGGCCTGCCAGTCAGCTGAAAGGGTGTCAAAAGCACTGTTAGCAGTATCAAGGCTAGTTGAAATGTCTGCTGTATTTAGCCTATGAATATTCTTAGCCTAGTAGCGAGTCTTGGCAGGTCTGCTATATGGGTATTCTGAGATGGTGTGAATGATTTAAAATAGAAGAGATGGCTCTTAAGGATAGAGGAATACAGGGACCCTTGCCTACTGGCACTGTGTAAGGTTTTGAGAGAGCGAGAGGAGAAAAGATAAATTTCTGAAAGTTGTCGTGTAATCATCTCCCCAGGTATCCATTAGTTCCCCTGGGGTTATCTACTTAGGAGATTGTACCATCTTCTTTACTCCTTTGCGAGCTTCCCCCCTTTCTCTTTACCAGGCTATGAAGTCCACGTTTTTGGATATTTCCATTTGTGTGGAATATGTGGTAGGAGAAGCTAGTTAGATAGATAGAGAACTTTTGTAATAAGGAGATCTAATAATATACCGTTATGGGGAGACAACCTGTAAAGACTCAGAGTTGTTCAGGCCAACCAGGATTCCTTCCTGTAGATAGAAATTGTCTAGTAAGGCTTGAAATATATAGTGGTTTCATTTATGACTACTAAGAGCAATGTGAGGTAGGTAATGTAGAATCGAATTATAAGAACAATATTATATTGTTAAGGTCGCTTCTTTGTTGCTTGAAGATGTCTAAAATCTTGGAAGGTAATTCAATATTTATATTTTACCTCTGAGTGTTCACGGACTACATCAATGAATTATACAAACTATGTACCTCACTCGTTGTAACTCACAATGTCGGGTATTCTTCATTGGTGTAAATACCCAGAGACAGTGAAAATCACCACATCCTCTTTAGTAGTTACAATATTGCTAACTAGGAACTATCCTGTACCCAATAGTAATTATCAAATCTTCCAAGTCATTAGACCCATAACCTAGCTCTTAGGTTGAAATGAAATGGCTCCAATTATCTCCTTTATCGATAAAATTATCAGTTTCATCTGAGGGTTGTATTTGTAGAAGTAGTCACTATTTCAACCTTGCTAGGTCACCGGACTTTTAACCTCCAATACTTTGAATGCAATTTACAGATATCTTATGGATTCCTTCCAACTAATTGGCAAGAAGCTATTCTACCAGATTGGCAGATAATCCCTCAGTCACCAACCCTTCATTGCACTTGGTAACCAGGTTTAAGTTGTTATTCTAGTAATGTGAATTATTCCTGCAACTACAAGTATGTCTGAGCCCAGTTGTAACACTCTGTAAAGTTTATTAGCTTCTGTCATAGTATTTTTCAGAGTTCAAGACTCTTCTAGTTATCATAGTGTGGGTGTGAATATATTGGTCTCTCATAGAGATCCTTTTACATTAGATATCAAATCTTTCTGCAAAGGCCTCCTGTTACCCATGGCCCTTGCCAATGATATCACATCTTTGAAGCCTAGTAGCTCTTTGAGTAGTTGAAAGCTTCACAGCATTCCACTTCCCAGACTTTACCAAAGGTCCCTTCTCCTGTATCCCAAGAACATGATCGATGTGAATAGACAGCAGCAACATACACAGTATTCATCTTACAGCTTAGATTCTGTGGCCTTATATTTACAGGACACAACTGAGATAAGTATGTATGATGACATACGGGGCCTATTAGGTGGCTGTAGCACAGTGTTGGAGAGCAGAGATTCCAATTTCCAGTGGGGTTACCCTACTTAGGGTGGTTCCTAGATATCGGATCCCAGTATTCCTAACTGGAGTTTTCACTTCCACCATTATCTCAATTTCAGTATATTGAAATTGAGTGCAAAGAGGACCCATTTGGCCAATATTTTACTTTGTTTGATTATTCATGATTTTCTCCATGTATACACTTTTTCATATTATACCTCAGATGGTTATTATTCTTGCAACACATAGGCTTTTGGCCACCCACAATACTCAATAATCCTTTACACATATTAGTGAGTATTCTATTCTACTTAACTTATCCCTCTCATAATCTTCTACTATACTGGTAGCCTATACCAAAAAAATCACAAACTCTCTTCTTTTATAAGTATAGTTTCAGACAGTAAAAATCAATCCTGTGTGTATTGAGAATCGCTAACTAATCCTCCATATATTACTCATGTTTTTATTTATTTAACCTTTTTCTATTTGTAATTTATAAATTCTTTAAAAATTATAAAAAATATTTCTCTATATTATAATATCATAAATAATATAAAGAAGATATAAAAAGTTCTACATTCATTTAACTTATCAATAAAATAAACTCTTCTGTATGACTGGTACTTTGTGATTTAAGTAGAAAGTTCTGTATCTTTATATATATAATCTCTTCTCTATTATAATACATTTTGATAGGTTTTCTTGAAATATATATAGAAATCTTCTGATAATATATATGTTAGAACTATGTCTTTGGCTACAAATAACTTAAATGCCTCTTATAATATATCAGAAAATTGCCCAAAACCTTACATACTCATCAACAATAACTCATATGCATATTTTAGCATTATTTTTGCATGTGTATTGAACTTAGTACTAGGTAAAAATGTTCCCAGTTTTAAAATAATTTTTTCAAGGCTTAAATATTAATTGATGTCTTTATAGCTCTGTAAATCTCTTTAGATTGACTAAATGAACAAATATACAACTTAAAAAATCATTACACAATAGTTGTGGTTAATAATTCTATTTTTCATGGAGTGTTCATCTGGAAAAAATAAGCATTGATTTTACTGCCCAGAACCATACAATAATATCCGACTCTGGCTTGCCCCATGGCCTCTTAACCTTCACTTTCCTTTAGGTAAGTGTATTTCCTGCACAGTCATGTCACAGAAGTCTTTGCACTGCCTGGCCAAGTAACTAAACAAGAATAACAGTTGATTTACCATTTCATCTGTCCTCCTTCAACCTGAATTACAACCTGAATACGCTGCAGCATTCTTCTAACTAACTCATCAAACTTATCTTGCCTAATAGCATTCCATTCCTCAACACCTGCAGCTTAAAGTTTATTCTTCCTATATGTCCTACCCAAAGTCCTTTCCATGCCCAAGCTCCCATCCACACCCAAAGTCTTATCCGGAATCCCTACTCTTGCAAACTGTTTCCTAAGCCTTATCTTCCATATATTCCATACAGTCTCAATCACATTTCAATCTGGTGACTGTGGGGGGTAAGAAACAATCTGATATCCTGCTTCCTTCTCAAGTGCCTGATTTTCGGCATCTTTATCCTAGCCAGCACTATTGCCAGCCACTTTCACATGCCATATTGATATCCCATTAAGTTGGACAACTGTCTTGCAAAATTGAATAAGATTGGAACTATGAATCTTTTCTGCAAATTGGTAGGCATCTAGACCAAGGCAGTCTTTTGGTCAGTGTTACTCCTTCTCAGTTCTTCACCGAACATGAACTAGTTGAGACTTGAATCAATAGGCAACAGCTACCCATACCGGAATGGGAGTACGCACTGATTGAAAAGAAGGACAAGGTTGCTTTGTTGAAAGGATTGGTTGATTTAACATGCTTTGCCGGATTGAAACATAATCTCTAGCCAGGTGCGGGTCATAGACACAGGTTGTTTTATTATCAAAAACTACCTGTTCCCATCATTCTCTCTTTTTCTGAAAATTCAAGTGTGCAAAGTCAAGCTGTTTTGTAAGAGAGGTAGAATGGAGCCAAGGTTTATTTCTTGTTTGAAGAAGAATGAATGGGTCATCAGACTTATCTGCATCTCATCACCTGTCACATAGCTGACAGGAAATTGGGTAGCTAGCTCCCACAGTAGCATTTGGGGATTTTCTTCAATGAGCTGCTCTATCTGAAACCAAGCATTCTGTGCCATGGATGGGCATCCAGAGCAATGAGCATTGCCAACATTCAAGTATCCTCTCTTCTTTGCTTGTTTAACAATATTGTGGACTTGTGATTTTGCGCAACAGGTCACATCCGCTAGTCACTGGTACCCCCAGTGTCAATGATGATGATCAAGAATCGAAATCACTAAGTTCTGCTTCTCGCAATCGCATTTCTGCTTTGAACACAGCCTATGTGGTGGGGCCATTAGTGGTGGTTAAGGTAAAGTGAGAGCACGATAAAACTTTACCCGGGTGCCAAGACTTCTGTAACACCACTGTACCTTCTGTCGCTATTCTTTAAACAAATATTCTTATAGTCTACATGACTTGCTTGCTCTTCATGCTCTGTCCACCTTTGTAAGTCTAATTGCTTCAATTAATACCATGTACGATAAATGGCCTTGCCACTAACCACTTTGTATTGCTGTTTTCTACTTTCCACCTCTTTTTTTATTTTTCTGAGATACTTTACCAGGCGTCTCTATTGCTTTCCTCTTATTAATTGGTTTTCTCTTCATATTTGCTTGGTTGCATTTCGTCTTGTCTGATATCTTTTACTATTATTAAGCATGCCTTAAATACCGAAAGGGATGGCGATAGGGTAGAATACATTAGGTAGTGAGACAATGATCATGTGCGTTAGTCACGTAGACAGGAAGAACAGATGAAAGGAAGAATGTCAGGACACGTATGATATTATCTTGTCAATGTGGATGATACAATACTTGTAAGTTAGGATTTTGCCGTTGCTCATCACTTTTGTCGCCAGTCTCGTACGGCTAATTTTGTCAACGATCTATACTAGGGGGTGCCGGAGCTGGCGATTTTTCAATAGTACTTCATTGCAACCCCAGGGCTATTTAGAGAACCCGCTTTTTACTTCCCTCTCCGAGTACAGTACATCAGGAGGGGCACCCTGTATCGCCCATAATCCGAGCAGAATTAATTAGTGCATAATCACTACCGTTGTGTCGTTATCATTGATTGCCTTAATTCAGCTGGAACAACGTCCTACGATAAGTCATTTGGACACTTCCATCATGTCTCACCATCAAAGCAGCAAAAATGAAGTTTGGCTGCTGCCGACTCAGAAAGTTCGTTAAACTAGCCCGACAGGAGGAAGCGCAGCTTCAGAATTGATTTAAAACACCAACTGAGAACGAGATCTAAGACAGTGTCTGAATTATATTTTTGCGTGTTTCGCGTGTTTCCGAGCAAAGAGAGGGTGAGCTGCATTTCCGAGAGCCTGAGGAGTAGAAAATATTACACCAAACCCGAGCTAGACCCGCCGAGCAATGAACGAAAAGGGAAAAGGAAATCAGAAATCCGCATATCGAAAACACCGTAAAAAACTTTGAGGATGCCCTCCCCCCTATTTGGAGTGGAATCAATGGCTAACTGCTTATCATTCACGGTATCAACCACCCATGATGCCCGGAGCTGCCCTATGGTCTAGAAATGTGTAATCGAGGACGTACTCTTTCTGTTGGACATCAAAATATTAAAAGATCTGGTCAATTTGATCGTGATCGCGTTGTGAAAGGGAACATACCCTTACTCTCTCCCACGCATTAGGATCGAAGAAAACATAAATCCCCTTCTCGGCATTTTCGGATATCTGCCTAATGTCGCTGGCGTTGTCCTTGGTTAACCATAGTTTGAGCGCTGTATGGTATCTCCAATTTCTCGAAGACCTTTGCTTAAAAGGGAAGAGGTTAAAAGCAAAAAAAGTATTAGCGGACAAATAATAGGATTCGAGGGGGATGGGTAATTATTACAGCTCTGCTGCGACCACTTCTTGCATTATATCCCTTGGCATTGTGTAGAAAATATAGAACAACGTTTCATCAGAGAAGCTCGAAACCTTGGCGCCAAGCGATTGCACGTTTTGAACTGTGTAACAAGTGGGGAGATGATATTCAGGTTCAACGGGTTTGGAATCAACATCAGCCCAAGGAGACGCAAAAGAGGGATACAAAGGCGCTTCAGGTTGATTCAGATCGAGTCCCAGTTGTGTCAGATCCTGTCCTAATGCCAACATTGAATAATCACCGCTTTCTCCTCGTATCAGGCTCAGAAGCCCGCCCAGACCAAAGCGATCGGTTTCCCCCATCCTCGAGGTTTGCATGGAATTTGACTGATTGCTCCCGAAGTCAACACTACTTAGACTAGAAGGTAGTTTAGATTGTTGAACCTGTTGCTGCGCTCCTAAGGAATGACCGATAGGATTCTGCATGCCAGGCGCTGGCGAAGAGTGTTGAGCCTGCTGTGATATAGGTCGTGAGATATTTGATAAGGAGATATTAGTTGGTGGACCTGGGGTTCCATTCGTTACCATTGATGAAAGATTTGTCTTCACCAGATTCTGGGGGGGTTGTTAGTACGTATCCCTTCCGATGAAATAGCACTTAGGTTTCGCTACCTTCTTCTCGAGATCGGAGATCTGTACATTCCCGGTTTGTTGAATAACGGAGTCTAAGAGTCTGCTGGGCTGAGAACCACTGCCCATTACAAGCCCAGATCTTCCGGCACTGAGACTTCCTTGTCGCACGCCAAATTGTGTAGCACCTCCCAGACCGGTTAACGGTATAAACCCTCGATCTTCAATGCCATCACCGTTTCCTTGAGTCCTAGGCAGTGCAGGAAAATCGTCTAAGCTATTCGGTTGCATTGCTTGCCTTGCCTGTGCTTGCGTTCCAACACCACCAACGCCACCAACACCACTCATTCTGTATCCATCCATATTGGCAAAAATGTCTTCCGGCTGAGGTGGTCGGTTTTGCGCTGAAGGGGACTGGGTGCTTAATCTATTCCATGGTTGAACGTTCGGGTTCTGGGGTTGGCCCCCTAGGGCAGGAAAATCGCTGCAAAACCAAACCAAAGCCTGTTAACTCTATGTTTGTGACCGGAGACGGATAGAGGTGGGGGCGGTGAGCCAATTGAGACTAACTTCATATCCAGAGGGCTCGAGAGCCCACTTTGCGAAAATGTTAAGCCTGAGCCTGGCCTACTTCCTGGAGGGTTGGGTACTCCGGGCGGTCCACCTTGCCATCCGCTGCCACCTGTGGCTCTCACCAGACTAGGGTTAGCTATCCGCACCTAGCTCGGAAGAGAGCGCTGTGAATAGTTTCCGTAGATATCGACGCGCACGAACCTAATTTACCGTTTGGCATCCCACCGATAGACCTTGAAGCAGCAGAGGAAGCTTGGGGAAAGCCCGCCAATCTCATTTGAGGTCCGGGGCCTGATATCGTATGAGTTGCCGAAGCAAATCAAAGCAAATCATTAGCCTATCGCTCGATCGCTGGTAGTATTAACAGTGAAATAGAGAAGAGAAGTGAATGGAGAACCTTGTCGATTCATGGCGAGATTAGCTGTGGTACTAGAAGCGTTTTAAGTTGTGAGATGCGGGATGAGGGAGGATGTGAGCGCGCGAGAGAAGCGAACGGAGGGGATCGAGGGCGTAAGGGTAGATAAGGGGTAGCGTGTGTTGTCAGGGAGGAGAGGAAGACGCAGTACGATGTGGGTAGTGTAAAGTGTGGACGAGAAAATGCAGTTGAGACTAGAGTCTGGGGCGAGACTGATGGAAAAACCCGCCACAGCTGTGCTGAACTGTACGCAGAGGCGTATTGTACCGATATGCGTTTCTGAGGAGCCAATTGTTGTCGAGGGCCTGAGGCGAAGCCTATGGTACCGGTATTGGGCGGCGAACGGAGGCTTAGGTCTTTGCTCCCTGCTCCTAAACACTACAAGTACCCGAGCACGGTAGAAGTGAACTTGGCGTCCGGGGAACTGCGGCGAAGGTAGGAAAGGAGCTTTACAAGTGCTATACCAGTAGGAAGGTTTGGCTTGACTAGAAGCGCGCCAAGACGTGCTGACCACTGCCATGCACTGTGCCAGAATTGCATCTTTATTAAATCGCTGTCTGTCAATATTATCTAGTTGGGTGGCAATGATTTGGGTCTGTCAAATAAACAGCGGTTGGGCCGGAAGCTGCTATCTTGGTACTAGGAGTATTAGATTATTTAAATAAAATATATCCAGGCAATCCATCACAAAGGGCATTGGCATGAAGCTGTTGCGCTGGAGGACTGGTACTTGTAGAGGTACCGTATACAAATTGCGGTATCACATCTACAATTGGAGGAGTTTCGAGAGTTCTGGATTTGCACAACGAGGTGTAGGAGGAACAACAGGGTTTGTCAGAATCCCCTCTTCGTAGCTGAGTATCCTGCGCCTATCTGATGATTACGAGTAAACCTTTATCCTGTCATCACTAACCCATGAGTTTCCGCATCGTTGCTCGCAGTGCTTAGCCTGGCGCAGAGGCCTAACAGTACCACCGTCTCTGTAGCAGCGTAGTAATTTAGGGCGTCCAGCAATATCTTGAGATGCCTAGAAAAGTTCTCCTCGTATTTGGACAAGTTGTCGCTAAGCTTGTCTAACCTGACTTGGTCAAACGCAGCATGTTCGTCACCCAGATACTTGGCAGATGGGGAAGCAAGGTCTGGATCGGCAGTAATGAGCGCCTTTGACAGGTGAGAGGTATAAGAGGCAAACATCGTGCATGTCATCATTATTTTTGCGTGTATCTGGATAATAGAGTTAGACTCATGTGAGTTGTATTGGATGGGGAGTGGGTGTAGGTGTAGATGAAAATGTCCCGTACCTTGAGCAGTTTGGAGTTCGTCAACATACACTCTTTCAAACATGTATCAAGAAAATCCACGTGATCTTGCATGAGCTCATCAACGGTCCGGACCTCTCCCAGACGCTTCATGAGTCCATTCCAATTTGGTTCAACAACCTCGCTTGTGCAAAAGTAGAGTAATTGTTGGACAAATACTAGCATCCTAGCCCTGAGTGTCCAAGCCCTGCGTTTCCACAGCTCTACTTGGGGATACTTGGACTTATGCTTCCAGGTGTACGATGTGTTATGATCCTGCCAAGCCTGGACCAAGAGGGTCTCAAGGTGACGAAGAGAGAGTAGATAGCGAAATAAGAGTTGATAGCGAAGGACAGTCTTGCGGGATATGACAAGAGACAAGGGGAAAGGTACACTATAATCGAGTTCTAGGGCATTGAAGCCGATAACCGATTTATCATCATCGATGGAAGAAATTGCTGGGGTCCGATGTGACTCCTCAAAGGTCGTTGCGCCCTCATCGATCCCACTCACGGAAACCACCCGCATGAGCCATTTAGTGAGCCCAACTTCATTCATCTGAACCTTTACATCCTCTTTGAAGGGATCACTGGCAGCAATAGAACCCGGTTGGCGAAGAGCGAGATCTAACAGTGACTGGAGTTTTCCAACATTAACTTTTTTTGCCTGTTTCTGGAGTTCGGTAGCACCAAGTTCCAAAAAATACGAAAAAAAGTCCGATCGATCCAGGAAAAAGTAGTGTTTTAAGGAGCGCAGCCGGGCAGGCAAAGCGTGTGTTGTCAGCAGCAAGTTGAGCAAAGATTCGTTGGCGTGAGCGTATGCCGAGTTCACATTGTCTAGAAATCTAAGGTGCGCAAGAGGTTGTTAATTGGAAGTTCTGAATACAATAGGAGTGGCACACAAACCGGATGTCTTCGAAACTTTTGGGTACATCCCCAACGTCTTTACTTACGTCTACCCCCCCGCATTCTCTGACCACATTGAGATATTTACCAGCCAGTAAGACCTTCTCTTTGACACCTTCAAGCTGTGGGGGAACATCGCCATCCCTGATTGTATACCTCTTCTCCCAGTATTCATCTGTATAGTCTTCTTCGAGTCTCTCGCGTCGTATGCTTTTTTGCTCCTTGATTAGGAACTCAGCATGCGGGTCTCTGATCATTCCATGATGAAGCCATTCATTAAGCATGTTCATATACGGCCCGGAAGCCTCGCGGAGAAGTAAACTTAGCAGCGACCTTGCGGCGGGATCCCCAGCCATAGAGGCCAACCGGAGTGTTAAAAGTCCCAACACAGAGCCGCCTTTACAAATCCTGGAACCAGGAACTCCTCCACTGCCTGCAATGTCGCCACCTTCTCGTAGTGATTCGAGTATATTCTCCATATCATCAAGATCGTCGACTGAATCTTCGAGATCGTCTTCCAACATTGAATTGCGTCGAAGCATTTCGCGTGCAAGGGAGTATAATTGAAACATCATGTGGCTTGTCGGCAATGTACGCAGGTGTAAAACATGTAATGTGAATGAAGGACTGGTGAGGAACTGATGTTCAAGCTGGGCAATTAAGACAAGATATTCCTTTAGGAGCTTGCGGATGGAGGCACAGAGAGCATGGTTTACGGCACCGAACTCTTCCCGTGAGTGAACTTCCGCGAAGGCTTCCACAGCGCCATAATGAGTGGCCATTTTTAACATTGTGTTGGCGAGGTCTCGTAAAGAGGGATCCAATCCAGGCAGAATCTTGAATTGCGGCCCCGCGAGCCGGTCGCTTTCGGAGGCTGGATTATAGTCACTACGGAACCTGATATATTGACCTTCGTAGCCCTACGGTGGACGTCAGTAGGGGGTCTGGTGGTATGATCGGGTTGCGCTTACCATGAAGACAAACAACAGGTCCTCGAGAATCGAAGCCTCCTGGAGGCTAAGGGGCATATCATCTAAAGCCGGGGGACAACAGGAGGAAGGTAGTTGGGATGCTAAAGGGGCGACAGAGATGCGAGATGCGAGCGGCGCGGTAGTGGGGGGGATTAGTGTAGCCTCTGGGTTCCACGTAGCTGAAGTGGTTAATGCCTACCGTAAGCTTTCATCAATCATCTGAGAAACAATATTGGATTTAAGGGCATTCAATTGCGTACTGGGAGAATTAATACGGATGAGAGGTGCCCCCGCTCCTGTGGAAAACGAGGCAGGTTTCGAGCCGGCCTTGTCATCACGACTTGGAGACTTCATGCGAACGCCCCGAGTGGTAGTCTCGGTCACATGAGATCTCTCGGTGATCCGTTTATCACCTATAACGGTGGAGGAGAAGCTCCCTCGGGTTACTGGCCTTCGTGCGCTTGTAGAGGGTGGCGGAGAGTTAGTTTCTGCTGCCCTCTCCCTTGCACGAGCCCTGGAGCTGCCATCACTTCGATGGCCCCGCTTTGCTGACTCAGTAGAGGAATGATAGGCACGCGAGGAGGAGGATGCCATTGTGGGATCAAGCAGGCAGCAGGGGAAAGCTGGAATGAGGTAGCGAAGTCACAGAAGAGAATATCAGGTGAGTCGATGATTAGGGATAATGAAGGAGAGAGAGGTGCAGTTGAGATGGGTTGCACAGACGAGGTGATACCGGTAAGTGATGAATTAGTCGAGAAAGTGGCGGCCGAGTGTGGCTAGCACAGTCCCGGAGTGCCGGTAGTGTCGGTGCTGGTGAATAGACTACCGTACAAGGGAGCAGGATGGCGATGTCTCAGTCATGGTTTGGTATGCCCAGGGCTGAGTGAACCTTTTCAATTCCATACTCTTGGCGAAAAAGAAAAAAAAAACCTTCCGGATACCATTGACCGAGAAATATAATAGGGTATAGCACGAATTCATGGTACGGAGCAGGGGTAGTGCCAGGGGATTTTTTGGTGGGGCTTTGGAACACTACAACCCAAGCAACAATTCAACAGAAAAACATGTGTTATGGTGCAGAACCTCTTAAACTAAACTATTTACCAAGATCTCCTCTCATCTCATGTTGATGGTGTTTTTGGCTACAACACCCCTAGACAAGAAATAAAATATTAAAAGGTAGACCAATATATTCTCTAGATATGGGTAACAAAATTGCAAGGAATTGTACAAATTCCTTAACAGAGTTTGATATTAATTAATAATTCTTAGAGTGTATAAAATGCAATTAGGATTTAAGGAATAACTTACCACACTACAACTAGCCATAGGAGTGTTTGGTTGTATAAGCTTATAAATTTATCAATATTCCTTATCATGGTTTTATTTGATTGATTGGCTGGTTCAAAGAGAAATTATTATTCTCATAATATCTTATTTGAAGAGCTTGATAACATCTATAAAGCTTAACAATATATTAAGTTCTACAACAAATCTTTATTACTTCATCTTTATAGTCCTTCCTAGAAAATTCTTAGTTGTTATAAACAAAATAATGTTATCCATCCTTCCTAGACATATCTCTGCCTACTCTAAAAATTCTAGCCTAAGTCTTCTTAATATATATTATAATTGGCTACTACCTAACTACTGAGGAGGAGCCAATGTGAGTTCATAATACTATTATCCATTCTGCTGGTGGTTAGTGAAACACTGAAGTTATTACCCAACTCTACACAATCTTATGCTTTCTAAATTGTATTATAATGAACATTCTTGATCCTGGCATAACAACTAAGCTTCCGTGTTACACTCAAAAGCTATTTCTAATCATGGCTCTTGGTAAGTTTACAGTATATTACCTTACTGTATGTATTGTATCCTTTGATAAGCATACCGTACCTTATCATTCAAACTCTACTTCTCTAAGATATCATACTCATTTTAAGGAACATCATCTATCACTGAGAGCAGCCAAACATGTTTTAGTTTTTCAGCGGATTCTGTAGTCCATAAACTCTTGATTCATTTTTCCTTGCCGAAAGCATCTCTTGACCTATTGCCAATTTTTTATCTTGCCCAAAGCTGAACCCCCGAATTCCCTATGGGTGAGACTTTAGTTAGTATCATAGTATGATAGAGAGAGCTCGACTTTTGCTTGAAATGACAACTGGGTGGAGTTTCTTATCCCAGTGCTCTACCGTTTCCGTTTCCTTCTCTGTATGATACCCCCTGCCCTCCTTCCCCCTCCCCTCCTCTGTTTTTTTTACACCCCTTGTGTCAATTTGCTTCAGCATATACTCGTACACCCCTGGCCAGCTTCCAATATCTAACACCTCAACCTGCCTCACACAACCGACCGACCATCCCAGCACGGAAAGCCTCTCCCCAAGTCTCTGGAGCAATTATCGCTTCCCGGGTAGTATCATGAACAGTCCATATCCATCAAGTTACCAGAGTGACCAAAAAGTTTATTTATTTATTCTCACTCACCTCTTCTGCCCACGGGAGAGTAGTTATATCCCCTTCCTTCGCCATATGCAGCTCCAACATGTTTCGTCCGCCGTAGCTATGTATATTACTCCAGCATGGGAGTAATACCTCATTCTTTCAACTTAACTTACATGCCCCACGATCCTATCATACTTCGGTCTGGACCCCTAGACTATTCAACACTAGGACTTCCTACTAAGCTTGCTGGGAGTGCACAATTGTGCCTCCCACCTTTTACTATACTTTTATAGCACAGAAATGTTCCTTAGAATGGCTTACATCGCGCATCATATTTTCTCACTCGCTCTACCTTCCTTCCTACGTATTCTATCGCAATATTGGAACTATGAAGGATAGAAGCATAACGTAAACATATCTCAATTGTGACCCTCTCTCCAGGCGGGATAATCGGGTCTCTGAAACATATAAAAAACTCTCTCAGAGATGTCATACTACCACATAATGACATTGCTGTGGCACACAACAGGTGGTAGCCTGGATGGCGATATCCAACACATTCCTCAATATGCTATAGCACGATATCTGCTTCGCTGGCCCGGGCTCACCGACGTGCGATCCGACCCAACACATCCTGATTTGCTTCAGGTTTCAAGCCTTCCCGAACCCACAACTACGTTCGAGTATCAGTCTAGCGCAATTAATCCTCTGTATACGAAGCCGCCGAACTACTAACCGATTCACCCAACCGCACATTGTGAAGCTGCTAGAGGTCTACGAGTAAGGGGCCAAGCATCGTTTTACTTCTCTTGGAGACTACTCGATATTCAATCATTGATCGATCAACCGACTAAACCATCTACGGGGACTCTACTCGAGTACTTCTATCCTACAATACTTTCCTACTCTCCCACTCTTCCTAAAGCAGTCGCCCCCACTTACCGCCGCCCAGCCAATCCTCATGCACATAGCCTCATACCAATATTTCCCACCCTCATCATCCCGGTTCCAGAAAAGCTGGCTCTAATGGTGTAGGTCAATAGAACCTTTGGACATCTGGCTCGGACTGTGCCCCCAAAGGTGCTCGGGAACTGCATCACAATTGCGCTCAGACTAAATGTTCAAATAAAAGAACGAAAGGCCACCGGACCCCCTGCCCAGCCCACCGAAGGCTAGATGCGCATTCCCCGGAGGAAATGTGCCACAGGAGCATCTAATAGCAGGCTACCCGGGTATGCCCCAACCTACGCTCGAAAGGCAAATCTCTTAAATGTGCACGAAACTTTGCCAGTGTCGCGGCAGGCGCCTATTCCGTAAACCAGACAACTGCCACTCCTTATGGCTCATTTTTTGAGGACCCTATCAGGCTTGCTACCAGTCATTCAGTAGCTCTCGAGCATAGCAGAGAAAATTCACAAACAACAGACATTTACACATTTCTAACTTATGCCTCAGCTCTAAGTTGATCTAATTTCGTGCGCACCGAACTTATTGCGAGCCCTAGCCCTAGATTCCCGAATACAGAACAAAAAATCCAGAGAAAACGCAACGCCGTAAATGTGATACTAGACATCTTGACACCTTCAACAAATGAAATATAACAGGGATGCAAGGGTAGAAAGAAAGATTTTTGTGTGTCGGTGAGTCTAAGCTAGAACCCGATCTAGGATGCGGTCCAAGTCTGCATCTATGGCTTCTGGCCAAGATAGTTTGACGCCTGTGTTGTTGTGGGCTATCGTCAGTCACCCCAGATCACCCATAAAAGTGGGGGGATTGCGTGACGAACGGATGAAATCACCTTTCCTAGACCCAAAAGCACGAGCATCCCTTCTCCTATATTTCCATCCTGTAGGCTTTTTAAACCTTCGGAAATACTCTGCTTCCGCCTTCTCTGCTGCGCAATCGATCGCCGCCGCTTCGTCTTCTTGCACATATAGATCGCAGCGGTCGCATTCATCACACGGTGTCCCTGGAACTTGCCGGAAATGCTGGCAGAAGTGTTTGTAGCTCTCGCTGCCTATCTCCGCTCGGCAAACATAGCTGTACTTGTGGATTAGCATGATCTTGTAGTTCGAGCGGAGGGTTCTATAGAAACGTAAAGACTTGGGGAGACAAACATACCACATGACATAGCCACATGGACAAGTGAGCTTATTACAGCCATCGGATTTTACAAATGAGATATGGCAAACTGGGCACTATACATCGTTAGCACTTAACTCAGGACAGGCTCATACACATTTAATGCATCTCTCACGAGAATCAAAGCCGGATTAAAGATATCAATACCGTTCGCTTGATCGCATCTGCCATTGCCTTTTCTACATATATCCTCACACTATCCTCCTCTTTTTCGTAGCACTTGTGGAATGGGGCCCATTCTCTCCCGCACTCCAGACAACTATCTCTACCGCATCGAGCATTTCCGCACCTAAAAAAGTTACCTCGCCGTTTCCGCTGGATTCTACCTATCGATTTTTCAACATGTTCCCGGCAGGCGGTCAATGAGAGGATCCACTGGATGGAGTTTGATGTTTCTCTGGGTAGGAAAGGTGAGCGCAGCGTGAACATCATTGTAAGGATGAGGATGAGAAAAGCCATCAAGGCCAGTGGGACAATGGAGAACAATACTAGAACGGAAGCAAGCAAAGCTACTTTGGCACTGCGTTTTATTCGGTACTCTTCCAAAGCAACTACTTCTGCATATGCGCAGAATGGACACCTTGCCAAATCCAATCCAGACCTCTCCAAACTTTCCGCCGCTGTCTTGTCCTCGAGTGAGTGTAGAACGTCGGGTGGTAGGATAGCCAATAATAATTCATGAGGCACGAAGGCCGCACATGGCGGAGAAGCGGAGGAAGACAAACACCGCACAGAGCATACCTCTCCTAATATATTTCTTCCCTGTCCGTATAAACCTTCTTGGACACTGCGGAGAAGACACTGGTGGCAGAAAAAATGGCCATCTGAGCACGATGCGATCTCGGTCCACGGATAGTCTCCAAAACAGCACTCACACTCCATCATCTCTGATGAAACAGCATGTTCGGCCTCGTTTAAGAGCTTTGCCACCTTCAAATCCTCATCTATTTGCCTGTCCCGGGTAGGCTTGCCCAAAGAAAAAAGCTCATCGTCTAGCTCCTTACATCCCGTAGCGGTCAGGGTTGGCTCGGGAGGTATTCCAGATCGTGCTCCACGAAAGAAATTAGCGACGGAGAAGCGCCAGGATTTACCGGCAATGTCCATAAGAGTCAGCCGGGAGCGGGCGTAGTCGAAGTTGTTTTCAGCCATTACAGCCTTGATTGTTGAGTGAGCTAAGCCTTTGAACTCTTTGTAACTACTCGGGGCAATAGTTAGCAAACTCTTGTGGTAAAGGCGTTGGTAAAAAATAAAATAAAAAACCATAGGAAGAAATTATTAAACAGAACAGGAAGCAGATAACTCACAGCACATTCTTCGCAGCAACTATATATGCCTCTGACCTGAACTTCTCCCACGGTTCCACAACTCGTCTTTGAACCCTTCCATCCTTAGACTTTTTTAACAGCTCCTCCGTGATAACATGTAATCGCGACTCCTCAGAAAATGTAGAGAGCATATGGCGGAACTCATCAACGTCAACGTTCGGAAACAACTCATTCAAAATTTCGATAGCTCGATTGAGAGAGGCCACCCTAGCTTGGTCGGCAGCTTCTTCAGGATCCAAAGAAGTAGATAAGGTCTCCCGACCGCCGCGTGGACCCTTGCCCTTTGGAGAAGAGAGTAAAGAAAGCATGATACATATCGTGTGTAGAGCAGCAGAGGGGAGGGGGTAGAAGAGCAAGAGCCTAAAGAGAGAGGAATATCAGGACGGTCGCCACCAGAGGAGGCTCCGCGGTTTTGGCTTGGGATGACGCGGCGGCAAGTAGTAATCTAACCGAATCAGCTATAGAGGGGAAAAGGGCCCAGGTTTGACTTGCGTGGGCGGCTGAGGGAGGTTGGGTCTTTATGATATTTGGCCCAGGATCGCCGTGGGATGCAGCTTATTCGGGCTGTTGCCGGAGTTCGTTTATTTCTTTGGAGACCCAAGGCCTGGTGGCTTGTTGGTAGCAGAAAGCCGGGTAATCAGTGTGGAGCTTTCCTCGGGTCAGGGTGAGGCCCTCGTCCTCTACTAGTACTCTACAGCGAAGGAAATTTGCACGTATCATAGATAGACCGTCAGGCCATACCGATACGAGCGAAGAAAATACCAACCAATATTACTTCAGTGACCTACTGGTACCGTTCATATTGCCCTCCAGCATATAATTAGAAGGTGCAACATGGCGTGAAGCTTTACAATGATTCGAGAATCGTGCTGCAGCAATTCAAGGAAACGTCGCAACCGAGTGATCTACCGCATACCAATACTGTATGGAGGTGAGGCCACAGGGGAAGCGACCGAGTAACCCCACAAGCCCTTGTGTCATATGCCCCATCCTTATTGCTTCCACTTCATCGCCCTTCAGCTCCTTCCTAAACCCCACCCAACCAACTCTCATATACCCGTGCCTTCCCCAGTCCTCAATATGCGGAAAGGCGTCGGGCTCGGAGCCCTTACAAGAAACACTCAGACCTCACAACAATACGCTTCTCACGGTCAACTGCTTCAAAAATCTCACATCGATGAGCTCACGACACAGCTTTCCGTTTTTCAGGCATCCCTCGCTCAGTTCTCCCGAACCCACGCAAAAGACATCCGCTCAAACCCCGCCTTTCGTGCAGAGTTTGCAAGAATGTGCACGGCAATCGGCGTTGACCCCCTCGCTAGCTCATCAAACAGAGGGGGTAGCTTCTGGGCTGAGATGCTAGGAACTTCGGTCAACGACTTTTATTTCGAGCTGGCTGTGAGAGTTGTGGAAGTTTGCAGAAGAACAAGGCAGGAAAATGGAGGACTAATTGCTATCGCGGAGGTACGGGAACGGATCATGAGGCAGGACGAGAGTATTGGCGGGAGCAACGATGTCAGTGAAGATGATATCCTCCGGGCCGTTGATGCTCTGAGACCGCTTAGCTCAGGCTTTGCTGTAATCGACCTTGGCCGGCGGCAGATGATCAGATCAGTACCCAAAGAGTTGAACACGGATCAATCTACGGTACTCGAAGCCATTCAGGTACTCGGGTTCATAACCCACTCGATGTTGAGAGTTAACCTCGGTTGGGATGGAGCCCGTGTACAAACTGTTATAGATGATCTGTTATCAGATTCTTTGGTCTGGCTCGATGACCAGGCGGACGAAAAGGAGTATTGGGCGCCTAGCTTTTTCAAAAAGTCAGGTTAAACAAGTTGCGTTGGCAGCCCGGCAGTTGGGGATGACTAATTCACACTCATCCTACGAAATGGGCCCAGCGCCAACAACAGATCCCCTAGTGTACTATAGCGAAAATATTGATATATCAGATCCAAGTATAACTCTGCGGGTAGTACCCGGAGGTGCCTTTCCTATCCTCGTGGTGATTTTTGTAAAACAGTGCAGTCAAATACGGGAGTTCAAGATCGAAGCCTGAAAGGCAGAGTGAATATCGAGGTCGGCGGGAAGTATAAGTGCACACTTGGTGGATTCAATGAACTCTAAATTCTAGCCCTTTTATACACATCGCGCGCTATCCGTCGGTCCTCGCTTTTATCCACGAATGCGAGGGTACCCTGTGCCCGCCGCCCGCTGAAGGAAGAAAACAGGCACAATCGATCGATAAAAATCGTTTAGAACGGCTACCAAACCAAATAGAAAGTTAGTCGATCTAAGCCCATGCATACATGAGGGATGCTGAAGGGGCCTTACGTTGTCCGATGCGGGCTTCTCTCGCCCAGTCCAGTAGCTTCCGATCAAGGGCAGCTTCTGTTTATCGACCAGTAAGCGCCGCCTGGCCACCAAAAACAGCAAAGGGGGAATCCTAAACCTGCAAGATGTCTTTCTGAACGCGGGGAACTCCTTCAAGGATGAAGATGACAGTTCCTCCAGCAACGGCTGCGAAGCTTGCAGCACTAATGCCACTGTTCGATAGAATGCGTCAGCAGTGGACAGGGCGAAATAAATCTGGACGGGGGCGCACGGACATGGGCCGGAGGCTCTTGATTGGGTATCCCATGATGTTGAAGGAGGAAGGCCTCAATCTAGAGGCGCGAGACCAATACCAGTCAATCACCTTTCCCAGCTGGAGGGGTTCTCAAATAGAAGACTACTCACTTTGGGCCATAAGGAGAAACGTAACGAACCTGCGGGGCAGTCATCAGTGAGCTGATTCCTCAAAGTGAATGAGTATAAAGGGATAGAGCTGTACGTACCATTGTGATATTCCTGAAGGCACCGAGGCTGTGATGGCGGGTGTGGAAGTGGGTTGTTGCCGAAGTTGGAGGTGAAAGGGGGGGGTGGGTGTATGATAAAGTGATACCGGTGATTGGATCGGTGTTTAGATGTTGAAAACCGAGCAACGATTCTCTTGAAAAGGGCTCAAGGCGCTAGGCAGAAAGAGGAAGAAGACAAGGGGGTCTATTGTAAAAATGAAGTGTCAAAGTGAACGTCTGATCAACCCAAATATAGAGAAAATCTCCAAGTTTCAGGAATTGACTTCTGTGCGGTTAAGGCACATACCGGTACTACTCGTACTCACTGGTTTTTTTAGCAATAGCTTCACTCCAGATTTTCACCGGTTCCCGGGAGAGGACCGGGGTTGCCAAGTAGATTTAGATATGAGACCTTTATCTAGACCAGGAGCAATATCAGTTGGAGCCGTGAACCAATCAAATAGGCGTTGGTTTAATTTTGTCAAATTTTCAGTACCTGTACTTGTAGCCCCACGATTCTCCCGACTGCTGACGCCTGCGTCTCACAAGGCGTGCAAAACCATAGTACTTGTACAGTACCAGCTCCTTCACCGCCATATCATACCTATTTTGCCTGCCTATTCAACACATCACCTATCCACCCCACACATGGAAGCGAAATTTCTCTAACTTTACTGTAAACTTTTGTTTCTTGTTACTTCATTCCACCCCCCCTCCCTCCCCAGTCGAACTCTCGGGGCTTGTTTTGCTATCTACTCATACCCGCGTACCCTTCAAGGCCGAGAAAAGAAAAGAATTCAAGGATAATTCATCCCTGCTCTAGGCTTTGTTTAGGCTCCATAACCGTGCTATCGGCATCCCCTGAGACAAGGGAAAAAGAAAAAGAAAGAAGAGAAGAGACCTTTCTCACTCCCTCCATCCAGTACCGGCACTTTTTCTAGTCTGCCGTATTCTACGCTATCTACCCTATCCTATTTTCTTGGAAGTCGATATCGGATTCCTCCAGTGTTCGTCGGCTCCACGTTGCAACTGTGACATCTCTCCCCACTGGCCCAGTGCCACCGCAACCAAATCTTCCGATATCCCGTTTTCCCCCGATCTTCGTCTCGACAACCGCCGCGCTAGACTACCTACTCCGCTCCTCCGCCTGCCTTTCTCTCGCTGCTGCAACCCCTCCACCAGACCCACCCTACCTTCGCAACTCGGCGCCTTTCATTTACTGCACTCACTCCCGGACTTGATACCACTGTGCCACTCTCTCTGAGCTCAACCGGGAACGACATCGAGTACAGGGTGTATTTCCGGACACTTGAGAAAAAAATTTTAAAAAAAATAATTAAAAAAAAAAAAATACTGTGGGAGCTAGGAAGGGAGGAAGGAAAGCACGGAAGGAAGGATAGAAGGAAGTCAGACAGTCGAGTCAAGGAGTCATGCCCACCAACAGACCTTTTCTAGCGAATCTGTTGGTAGCGTTCCGAGCTCATAGCGCTACGGCCAAGGGTTCTTCCAACAATCCATCATCGTCCTCGCCATCATCAAAACCCTCTGCGGGACCAAAGACCCAATCGGCCCCAGCAAGCAGTTCAACGACCGCCCCCTCGTCAACTGCTGCCATGGCTACCGCCGCTGTCCACACGAATAGTAGTCAACAGCAACAACCCACTAACTTCACCTCTTCAAGACAACGAAGGAGTTCATCAAGCTCAACGGAGGGTTTTGTGGAGCCTCCTTCGGGCGAGAAGTGGTGGATAGGTGGCAGGAATTCGGATGGCCAGGAACGGTTTTACCGATTACAGCCAGTGTATGTTAGCCTCCTTTTCTGGTAAGATATTTAGGACTCACGACTTTGTTTGATAGGAGGAGGCAGAGATCTTGTGACCGATTATCGCTGGATCGTCTGTCGATTTAGATATTCTCTTCTGCATCTATTATCCAACGATAGCTACATATCGCCCAGGTTCTGTCTTAGCATTCTCCGATTCCTCTAAGGTTCGTCGGCTATAAAATGGGTTGGCACGGGATCCAAGGCAAGCTTAGTTATGCAAGGGATCGTATTGCTTTTGAGTTGCTCGTTACGTTTTTCCTCCCAATTTCATCACTATCGAACTCCTTCTCCTGACCCTTTGATCTTTGTCTATAACTCTTGGTATTCTGCTGTACTTTGGTTTTATTATTTTTCTTCTTCCTGTTTGAGCGCTTTCATTTCTGGCATATCGGGAATTGGGTTGGGTGCACGGAAGAGATTTGGGTTGGGATATACTTGAACTTCATCTGATAAGGTCTTGAGAGTGTTATGGTGAGTCAGATAAACTCACAAAGCAATATATTTTGCACGGCCTGATTTTTGGGCCTGCAGAACATCGATAGAGAATAGCAGTCACTTATTCCAGTATGCTACACACATCAAGCGCCTGAAAAATTTCCCAACTTTCCTAGCCTCTTTTTAGTTTTTATTCTTAACACTACTCATGAATAATTAAGAATAAAATAAGAATAAAAACGAAAATAAAAAAGAATTGAAGGCCAAGCTCAAAAGGTGTCTATGGAGGCTGTGATGGTCGTACTTGTATTATAGCACGGTGGAAGGCTTGGGGCGGGGGAAGGCTCTAAATTAACAATACAGTAATGACGATGGTATGAGGTGTTGCCCCACTTTTGAGAGTGAGCGTACAATAGGCTGCGGTCCGTTTTTTGTGAGCTAGCAGCAGAGATTCTGATGATTCCTTTCTAGGAAGAACCCGCTTGGGAAGTCGTGAGTTATTCGGTATGCGATATGAATGGGGGAAAAAGATGTAGATATCGGAAGGTTGGAAATTGAAATTCTGAGTAATGGAGATCGACAGGAGTTGCTTGGAGATAAATCGACCTATGGCAGATTCTTCACCCACGGCAGCCCGGTGGATAGAAGAGTGACTGCGCGACCCATTGACGCGTTGTCCCTGGCTATTGTCTTGCATAATATTATTATAATAGTATGCTACCGCTATTTGCAGCATCGGGATTGTTGTGCAGTACATTGCCGTATAAGCTATGGTAGGGGGGGGGAGATGAGGGTGCAGTATCATACAAGCTATGGAGCTTCTGGTCGGTGGGTTTTAGGGTAGAGAAAAGATATGTTAGTTGGGGAACGTTGCTGCTCTATTATATACCTTGGGTGATTTGATTGATTGATGGACCAAGAAAATACTGATATTGGCACAATACGGCATCAGATTGTATCCAGAGGGAAAAAATGGTGGAGCTCGAGCAAAGAGTTAGACGTTAGGCATGCCCGGGCATGCACTGTAATCCGAGTTTTTTCTTCTGTGTCCATTCCTGATGGGCGAAACTTGCAGACGTGGAAAAATTGTCATTTACCAGCGACTAACTACTTGTAAAGAAAACAGCGGGAATTCTTCATAACACAAAATATTGCTTCAAACTTAAAATGAGATTCACTCTGGATATCTGATCATGCACTACTCAAAGATATTATAGTCCTTCTGAGATTGACCTTCCCCTGCAGAGCTTTTATTATCTAGTTAGTAAGAGTGATTGAAGCCCTCTGCACCACCTCGGAGTTCTTGATTTTTGAATAACACGGGCGTGGAGATTATCGCCCGTTTTACGCGCTTTTGTTCATACTATATTGTTTTCGTTCGCTTTTCTCTTAATTTTTTTTTTTTGCCCCGACCAATCATCAGCCCTCTCAACGTTTCTTCCGCTTAATATTGAGGGGATCTTGACCTGACCTGTTCTTGTCTAGTTTCCGCTGTTGTTGCTGACCGCTGGTGAACCTTTCCTTCATCATCATCATCATCATCATCTTCCCCTTCCCCTTCCCCTTCTTCCAACTGAACTGCCTCCATCTCTCCACCACCCGTTCGTTCACCCTCTCTCCAAGAGGTGGCTCATACATCTTCAGGCCTTACTGTTGCCCTCTAACGTACCTTCTCTCTCTCTCTTTTTTATTCTTTTGATTACTACCGTACTTCTCTCCATTTTATCATCCTCCCCTTCCTTCACGACTTTTCCCTCTTTTCTTGACTTCCTTCTCGCTTCCCCTACCCCCCCCCGTTGTTCTGCCAACCTCTGACAAGCACCATCGACTCACAACGAGCGGGCCCATCATCTGGCCCCTTCTTTCTATTTCCCCCTCCACAGCACTAACCACCGTCAGCCCCGATAACCTCGCTTCTTTTCTTCTCCCCCTTGCCCCACCACTTGACACTATTCTCCTGCTTCTTCTCTTACTGCCCCTCTATTCTATTGCCGCCTGACGCCTCCTCTGTGGTTTTGCTCACATTGAAATCTCGTTGTCTTCGGCTTAGCTTGAGAACCCTGCGCCATCACCTCAACCACCCACCACAACGCACTCCTTGGTATGTGATCGACTTTGTTTTTCTTTATTTCTTATTTTGCTCTTTAACTTGTTTCTATCCCCTCACCTTTGTTTTACGTGACATTTGTCCAAATTTTGACAACTGTTTACTCGTCTGTTCTCCTGCTAACACTATTAAAATGCAGCCACCCTCCCCTAATCCCAGCATCACATTTGGACCACTAGTGTCTTTATCTGGAGAACCGATCAGCGAGGAGCCCAGTCTTAACAGGGAGCCCTCTTCGCTTGACTTCGTGTTTTCTGAGCCAGCAAACACTCTGCATTCTCATCAGATGGGCCAGGGTGCTTCAACGCCCCAAGATGGCAGGGAGACGTCGGCTACTAGGAGGACTGGAGCACAACAACAACAGCCGCAGCACAACGAAGGAGTTGAGGCGAACCAAAGCCTGGCTGCTCAGAATGTGACTAGGAACAGCATAAATTCTGGGGTATCAGATGAGGCAGCTACGGCGGTCCTCAGGAGGAGTAGAAGATTACGGAATCATATTGAACACATATCAAGAATAGGAAACAGGATAATGTCGCCAGGTTCGTCTTCGTCGACATCAGTGGGGAACAGGATGCAAAATATCCGTTTTCGTTCACGCAGTTCACGTTTCTCAAATTCCCGCTCGCCGTCACCCACATCTCTCGGTGGGTCGTCGCGTACTCGACCTTCATCGCCGCGCACCCGGCTACGTAATATTCCTCGATCCACACATATTCCCGGATCAGATTTTAGTGACATGATGGATATATCTCCTGTCACCACTGCTACCCCACAACCACAGACCCCATCCTTTGCACCGCCTACCGAACCTACGGCTTCTGCCGAATCTCGCCCTTCGCGTATGTCCAGAGTCAGATCCTCAATCAGTTCGTGGCCCAATATCCTTCCAGATATTCGTACAACCGGCTCTTCTCGCCCATCTTCAGGAAGACTATCGCAACCAAGGTCTCGTAGGGCAAGTATGTTTGGTTCAGCATTCGGTGATCACAGCCATGCTGGGGACATGGATACAGATATGCCTTCGGCGCCAGATCTCAACTCAACATCCCAATCTGGAGTTTCATACTCTGGCACATCTCAGCCTAGACAAGATCGCCCCGCCAGTGGCACCGGAAGTTTGATGGATGAACTCGATAATAATCCTGCTCGGGTAAGGCCAGGAGAAGATCAGGCTGCGATGCTTTCAAGGTTACTTTCAGTCGCTGCAGCAGCTACGGCAGCGTCGCTTGTTGGAGGGACTGAGCAAGCAATTAGAGAGGCTGAAGATGTAGCTGGGGATAACGGGGGGGACGGAAGCTTTGAATCCTTCTTAAGAGCTCTCCAAAATGGGCGTCTGGCTGCAGCTCTTAGAAATGGTGGCAATGAATTGGGTGGAGGGACTCCGGCGGATGGTGAACGTGCGGAGTCAGTCATGCCTCCACTTAATTTCTTCAGGATGTTCCGCTTTGGGAGTAATGGAAATTCGAACACAGATCACGGTAGGGAGGAGGGCCCTGACGGCTCTCGCTCCCGAATGGTCCCGGTTATTATTGTAGGGATTCGCTCTGTCACCCCAAGAGACACGACAGAGGCAGAAGGCAATAGGCCAGCTCCGTTCTTTGATGCTCTTGCCAATCTTCCTGTCAATATTCCTAGTATCCACCGCAGGCCAAGGCTCAGCAATAGTCATAGAAGGGCTTCGGTGGGTGGTGCGCCTGGCAGCTCACTTGGATTTGATAACCAAAGACATATTCGTGGAGCTTCTGTTGGGTCGTTGAGGCCAACATCCGAACTTGATAGTTTGCCAATTCCACCATCTCTCTCTGACTCTTCCTCCGGAGCACTACCTCCTCCTTCCACTCCAGCTGATCCCAGCATGTCAATCTTCCGCCAGGAGCCGCTTGCCCCCGAATCTAGAGTTCCAGTCGAGTCGGTAGAAGCTAATACACTCTCTGATGACAACGGAGTGGGTTATGGAAGCGGGAGGGAACCGTCACGCCGTCGTTTGTCGCGGCGTTTGAGTAGCCCGGAAGCTTTGCCAGCACTTGGTAGGTCTGGGGGAAGCAGTAATTCTGGTAGCGCTGGTTCCACAAATGGAAATGGTGGGTCTAGTGGTAGTAGGCGCCCTTCGGGTAGTCCAGAAGGTACCAGGAGCTGGATTATCTATGTACTTGGCGGTTCATACCCGGAGGATCATCCAATCCTTACGACTCCGAGCTTGTTCACTGATGTAAGCACCAATTCTCGTCTTGCGGTCTTTGGAAACGGACTGCCCCAAGGGCGTTCATATTTATTCAGTTCGCTAATATTGTCCTTGTAGGCTCCAACGTACGAAGATATGATGCTTCTCTCATCCTTGCTCGGGCCGGCTAAGCCCCCTGTGGCAACTAGAGATGATGTCAATTCTGCCGGCGGGATCTTCACCTTTGGCGATGGATGTGCCCTTGGCGCCGAAATTGCCGAGGGGGATAGGTGCCTGATCTGCTTGGGTGATTATGAGGATGGTGAGCAGTGTCGTCAGCTAACCAAATGTCAACATGTCTTCCACAAAGACTGTATTGATGAGGTAGGGGAATAATTGTGAAGTCCCTTGTAGAATCATACTGACTATTCGTAGTGGTTGACTACGGGGCGCAATTCGTGCCCCCTATGCCGAGGCCAAGGGGTCAACGAAAAGGAACAGTCAGACCCTGCCCCTCCTCCGGCTGCATCGGACCCCCTTACCCAGGATTCCCTGGGTGCTGTTGCTGCGTCATAATAGACATTTTGGTATCTTCTCGGTTTTCGGCCGGCCTGGACCAACCATCTCCATTCGCCAGTCGTGTGGCGACATTGGGCTGGATGGATCGCATTGATTGTTTTATCAACTACCCATTGTGGGCGCATATACCTTGCCCACTATTCTTTTTCTCCCTTCTACCCTTTTACGTCTTTTAGCCTTTGTGCCGTTTGGAGTATCTTTTACGTTGTTTTTCCATCTTTTTTTCGGGAACGGTGAGGGGACGGTTCTTGGGTTTGTTGCATAGTTAGGTTGTTCTCACCTCTTTCTCCTTTTCCCTTTCCTTTCCCCTTTCTCCTTTAAGCTTCATTCGCTGGGAGACCTCATGATGGCCAGGATTCACAAACTGTAGTCATTCACATCTTTCGGTGGTAAGGCGTCGTGTGTTGATTTTTCTTCTGTGGGTTGAAGCATCTATGTTGTCCTTTGGGTGCTCTTATTCATCCTCCATTGTACCCTAGTATCCCAGTATTGTTGCGCATTGGGGACCAGTATTGGTTTCTTGGCTTACGCATTGCCTCTCCTCAACTCCTCGATATGGTTTTTCAAATTTCTTCCTTTCATTACAATGAACTGTTTTTCGGGAGGGGCTGGGTTAGCATTTGGGTTCGGGCTAGGTTTCCATATGTTTCTTCTGTTGTTAAATGTGTTGGTGGTCCATCTTTATTCCGTGAATTTTCCCTGGTATTCCCCTTTGCTATTTGTCTCACTACCCAAGTTATGTTTGTCTCCTACTCTGGGTTGTCATCACCCCGATAGCGGTACATGTTCTTAGAGCACTTAATTTCGAGACATTGGTTGGTTAATCCGTTGATTCAGCGCACTTTTATGAGATCGGGTATGATGAATAGGTATATAGGTATGTGCCGGTATGGTACAGTGCGGTGCAACTCTATAATACCGTTCCATATCAGACCATATCAGACTATTGAATGCACCCTCACCTATCCGTGCATGGACCGATCCTTCGTTCGTTCATTGCAATTTACGGCAGCGCCCACTTCCCAGAAAACGGGATTTGGGGAAGTTCTACCGGCTTCTCCAGTAGTGTTAACGGTGAACACCCCCTAGCCCGTCCACTTGTCCAAAGTGCTCTGACGCGTAGGCCCTCCCCTTTCACCCTGCCTCTTTCTAGTCATACATTTACTGTGATACTGTAGGGCTATCTAGCTATCATATCGGTCAGTACGCGCGTACGCACCCGAAGTTGAGTTGGCGAATTGGCGGGGACAAATGGGAATCAGATCGAGTCACTCTCTTGTATCTACCTACCCCATCGGCACCCGGTCCCCGGAACCCCCCCCCCTTGATCCGCCTCTTCTTTGCATCTCTACCGAATCAATGGATGGAATTTCGAAAGTGATATCAAGTTCCGCACCCAATAGCGCTGATAAACCAAGATATTTCCGTCGATTCCCTTTCTTACACAATCCCCCAGTGAAAGGCACAGGAGCCGTCGTGATCACTTCTCCCGGATGTATGGGTAGCGGAATAAACCCAGTTTTGGTCACAGGCCAATTAGCCACTTCGAAACTTGGGTTTTTTCTTTTGGGGTTGTTTGTTGTTCGCTCGCACAAAGATTGCCCTCTAGTGTACAATACTTAAAATCAAGCGATGGATTCTCGGGAACAGGGAAAGGACTTGCACATGATGAAGTTGGAGTCCTTGCTGGGGTGTGGCCGGTGGTGGCGTTGTGTTGTGTTATATCGGCTCGTAAGGGGGAATCGGGAGAAAGTGGTGGGCGTGATTTGGACCCCGAGGGCACCACGCTGGTTGAGGGGGGGCTGCCCGGTGCGGATACGGGTGTAGGTGGGCGGACGGGTGCGAGGGTGAGGCGGAGGATGTGGTATTGGAATGAGCCAGGAGTAACGGAGGCGCCTGCACTCGAATCCCCGGGGTTGGAGGGTGTCGTGCGCAATTTCAAATGGACGAGTGGAAATTTTACAATATGTAGAGGAATTCAGAATAGGGAGTTCGAGTGATATCTGGTGAAGTTGATTTGTTGTGAGAGGTGAACAGCGGTTTCATGGATCATGAATTCGTGGTGCGCAGCAGGGGTCCGGGATTAGAGGGCAATGGCACAACATTTGAGATGAGTGGAGGAGTGTAATTTTGTGCGCATAAGGGTTACTGAGTTTTATAAAGAACTAAAAAGCAAAATATATTATAATCATTACCGGTCACTTATTCCATACTTATGGGGGTCAAAACACGGGAGAGGAAAAAAGAGAATGGAAAGAAGAATGGAAAATGGAACAAGGGGATAGGGTATTATTTGAAAGAATATGAGGTTGAAGACAGTAAACTGACTGTAGAGAAATGATTTGAATAACAGAGTGGAGTGAAGAAATCCAGAAAAATTTAAAGTAAAGTACTGGGACAAATTGTTTTGCAGGTGGCCGCAACAATGGCACTGCAACCAATATAAAATTTCCACCAATACAATCACAACAATTCCAATAGTGATGAGACTTGAGATAGATAATAAATAAATATAACAGAATCTTGATATAAAATCATAGAACAAAAAAATCAATACCTTGTATACCATCGCTTTGTACTCAATACAGTAGCTAATCTTTTAGGCATAGACTCCTACAAGCTTTCCAAAAACTCTCCTTCAATATCCTGTGTACAAACCATATTGAGAGCTTCTGTTAAACATCTTCTAACAGCATTTGAACTTCCTTTCATCTTGTGAATATTAAGAAAGTGCCAATGTAGCTTTTCCTTTATCCTCTTTCAACAATACTTGATGGGATTAAGATCAGGTAAATTAGGTGGCCATTTCATTACCTGTAAGTTGTTTTCCTCAACCAAATCATGGTATCTTTTGCAGTATGATATGTATCTTTGCACTATCCTGCTGAAAGCTAAGATCCCTAATCATATCCTCCACTTCCGGCAAAGTATCAAGCAAAGCATTTTCTAAAACTCCAATACTGTAGTGGTCATACTACTTGGGACTATTAGCTATCAGCAAGCAGGGTCCAGTCCTGAAAAAATCATCTTTCTGTCTGTATCAGCAGGGTGATGTTCATTATGGTAATACCGCTCAGTATGTAGATCCCGCTCAGCCCGGATTGCGCAATTCTGCTTGGACCTTGTCTCAGCTTGGATTCCTTGGAACTTGCTTAGACCTTCGTACACAACTATTTACAACAGAATTTTGAGCCAGGTTCTCTTCAACCTCCAGAGAATCATTTTCTCCAACCTTCAATCGTCTTAGTTGACTTAAAATAGCACAAATCGCCTCCACATATTCACTTCCCTCACTCCTACTCTTATTGTCTACCCCTATCTCACTTCTAAGCTCTTCCTCCCAATTACTGTCACAGTCATGTTCTGCAGGTAGAGTAGAGGCTGCGATAATAAGAGAAGTAATTTGAATCTATTTTTCTTTTCTTAGAAGAAGGCTTGAGCATACCATAGCTTTGGCTAGTAGTGTCCATAGTAATATTAAAAACCTTCTCAAGCTTCTTAGCTTTCCTAGATGCCTTTACAGCATCTGACTTCTCATGCTGCTGGTGGAGGGTTATTACCATCTCTGCTGTGACTACAGTAGCCTCTGTAAGCTTTCTCCGGTTATTTGTTTTAATCTGCTTGCTTCCCCAACCAATTCTCAGTATTGCCTGTGTGCCTCCTCCACTAGCAGTTTCTCTGCGTAGGTTTCCTGAAAACCTTCATTAATTCCCGTAGTAGTGGTTTTAGCTTTTTAGAACTAGGGATATTTCGAGAAATAAGAGATATCACTGTGTGTGTGGTCCTGCTAACAGCTCTTGGGGTATTAGGAGCTAGTTGAATACCAATAGTACAGGGAAGAGGCGTCTGAGTTTTACTCTGAATTATACAGCATGGATTTAGAGCTATTATCCCTACTACTTCCCATGGCCGAACAATATTTTCTCAAGTGAATGCCTGCCCTCTTGCAGGAAGGAATACCCTATATATATAGATTAGATTTTTTCAACTTATTTAGTTATAGGAAGTGAATAAGTATTTCCGGGTCTGAGGATAAATACTAGTAGCCAAGAGTTACACTTATGGAAAAAATTCACCCTTGGTGAAGTTTTCTTGAATGCCTTTATACATCCAGTTATCCAGACCATTGCTATAATAGTGGTGCAACAGTCCGAAAATACCCACATCGAATGGTCAGAGGAGGTGAGTGGAATGGACAGCAAGGTAAAAGGGAATAATTTTGTTTTCCAAACAAAGGTCGAAGAACTTCCAATTGAAATGGGAATTATGGCCATCTAAAATCAGGAGCTAATACTCCCACTTAGCCCTATTTTTTATTTAGATATCTTAATTTTAGACTTAAAAATTTAATACATACCATGCTTTTATTTCCACATAAAAAACCTCTTGTAGCCATCGCCAGGCCATTATCTCATTACTCCATCCATTTTCAGACACACTAAAAAGTGCCCTATTACCTTCCTTCAGACTAGCATACTAGTCGGAATAGTGGACAATCCCTGTATTGATAATAAAGGGTGTTAAAACTTCATTGTCGCTAGATATAGTTTTAATAATAGTTACCCAAGCTGGAAACCGTCCATTTCTAGCCAGGATGAGTGGCGACTTTGTAAACAAATAACTTTACAAAGGAGAGGAACTCCCATGAGTAATCCTGTCTCATCCATTTTGTAATAATTGTTGATCATAATTTGATATAATTTAAGTAAACTTTGTAACTAAAGTAATTATAGGTGGGTATACAAACTACAAGGCTCAAGACGAGAGAGTGGGAAGGGGCGATTATCTTTTGATAAAGTCATGTAATATGACTAGATTACTAGCAAATGTAGGCTATCGATCTAACCGTGTGCTTAGCTTCAAAGCAAGTTCCTCATTTCGGCTTAGGAATCAGGAAAGCCAGTGTTTCTTAAGAACTCTGTCTTTTACCTGTTGTTGTACTATTGCCTGTGCCATTTCTTTTACAACACTCAAAGTAGCAGGATGTCCCTATTCATCAACCTTAGTACACCACAGAACTATTGCCTTCTCCTCATACTCTGTTAAGGCCTGCAACCTAAGGTGCTGCTTCACATAATCCTGTGCACCCCCAAGTCTCCCCCATGGAGTGGAGTATGCAAGTTCAAATTTCTCTCCTGTAGCCCAGATAGAATGCTCATCACTTGCATTTTAATAGTCAATAGTGTCTTGAATAATTCTTTCTTTCTTTTCTCTCTTTTAGTGGGTGTTCGAAGGCATGGTAAGTATATAGTGTTCAATTATCTGCTCTGATAACTAATATACGGGAGATTTACATTCGTGTAGGATAGTCTCTTAGGCGATTTTGGCAGTAATGTTAGGAATATTGGGATCTAATACCTAGGAGTCACTCTAGGTAGGGTAACCCCATCCGGAATCGGAATCTCTGGTCTCTTACACCCCTCTCCGGCCTCCTTGCAGGGCCTGCTTGTCATCATACAAATCAATCTCGGTTGCATCCTGTGAATATAATACCACAGAATTGAAGGTATCAGAATAACACTGTATACATTGCTGCCATCTATTTGATCAAATTTTGTTCTCAGAATATATGAGAGGAGACCTTCGGCTAGGTCTGAGAAGTAGAACGGAGTAAATCCATCAACTACTCAGAAGGTTACTAGGCTTCAAAGATGTAATACCTGTGGTATGTGCCGTAGTTAATGGAATATTTTCGCACAAAGAGATGGTATTGAATGGTAAATGATCTCAGCAAGAGACCAATACATTCACATCCACCCTACAATATCTCAAAGAGTCCAAAACTCTGAAGGACACTACTATGAAAGCCATCGGACTTCACGGAGTATTGCAACTAGGTTTCAGAATATGTTGTAGTTACGAGGATAATTTCCAATAAAACAACAGTGATTGAAACCTTGTTACCCAGAGCAACCAAGGATTGCTGACCGAGAGAATATTTGTCAATCCAGTAGAATAGCTTTCTGCGAATAAATGGGAAGTCCTTTGGAAGACATCTATCAGTTGTGTAAGGAGTTATAGAGCTTTAAAGTCAGATGACCTGAAAAAAGATTGTGATTACGACTACCTTCGTAGATGCAGGCAGCAGGTAAAACTAATTATTTCATGAATGACGGAGACAATTGGAGCCAACTCAGTTCGACTTGAAAACTAGGCTACAAGTCTAAAGACTCTAACGATCAAATAACCACTATTGGGAATAGTATGGTTCCAAGTTAATTATGTTGGAATTGCCAAAGAGAATGTAGTGATTTTCAGGGTTTCCAGGTGTTCGCAACTTTCAAGAATACCTGATGTTGTGAGTTATAATAAGAACGGTACATAGTTTTATTATAAATAGATGTAGTCTGCGAACACTCAGACTTGGAATATAAATATTGAAGTATCTTTCAAGCTTTAGACATCATCAAGCAATGGAGAAGAGATCTTAACAATATAATATTGTTCTACGATTCTATCTTACTTTACTAAATTTACTTCTCTCTTAGTTGTCATAAATGAAATGAGTGAACTCGAGCCTTCCTAGACAATCTCTATCTACAGAAATGAATCTTGATTGGCCTAGACAATTCTGAAGTCTATCAGGTTGTCTCCGCCTAATAGGTGAGCAGAATTCAGGTAATGAGCCGTATTCCTGGAATTTACTTTAGTGTTCCAAATATATTGTCCTGTTAGCTTTTCATGACTAGTTTTTTTCGTGAATTTCATATTAATTTCCCCCTCAATAAAGCAATACATTTTGAAATAAAATAAGAGATGAAGCTTGCTATTTATTTTCCTTATCTGCAACAAGTATGTTGATAATAAAGTATTAGTAGTCTTTACCTGAACGTACTCCATATTCATATCTTCAGTCTCAGTACCCTCCACCTCAGATACCAGAATAAGAATAGTACTGTGGCTTCTATATTCGGATTCATAGTTGGTATCCATTGTACTGATAGTTATGAAAACAGGATTAGGAATTAAAAAATAAAGAGAAAAAAATAGGAAATTTTTGTCCTAATACAA